CCGATGTCACCCCCGTGGCGACGTGAAATCATTTCTCATGCCTTGTAGAGACTTCTGTAGAGCTTGGGATACGTCCAGATCGGCTGTTGGGAGGATATGCGGCATGTACTCAACAACGGTGACTGAAAAAGCCAATTCAAAATGCGAGGTCCGATGGTGACACTGTACTTTAGTGCCCAATCGGGCCCATACTGAGCCCAGCTCGAGGCCGATCACTCCACCACCGATCACCGCCATTGACTCAGGTACCTGCGAGCATATGAAGGCCCTGGACTCCAACGATTATCAAGACGATACGGACCTCTGGGAACTCCAAGGCTTCAGTGCTTGTCACAATGACATCACCGTCAATCTTGAGGAAAGGTAGCGAGGAGGAGTCGGAACCTGTATGCACAGTGGTGGACCAATCCTGGTGCGAGATGGCTCACCCGTAGCTACCACGTAGTGCTTTGCCTCGATAGACGCGCTAGCTCCATCGGTAATGTCGACCTCCAAAGTGTTGGCATTCGTAAAGCGTCCGAGGCCGTGGAATTGTGTAACCTGAGCACGCACCGTCACGACTATTTTGCTCTAGATCCAGATGCATGTCCAGGGTGACTGGTGACACCAAGGGAGGGAGGGGGGATCGGACACTACCCCATTCTTGTCCATGAGACCCTTGACGCCTTTAGTGAGCATTTGGACTGTTCGGGTCCGATGTCGATGCATGGCAGTCAAGTCAGCAGCAGCCGATGACGAATCAATACTCACTCCAATTTTCTTCAAAGTACCGCCGCTCTAAGAGAAGCACCAAGGCTGATCACAGGGTGGACTAATAGCATCACTTTTAGAGCGGAGTATTCATGAGATGAATGGAGGAGACACTTCGAGGGAATACATCCTATGTTCAGGCAGGTACCCCCCAGCGCGGACCTCTTCTCGATGATAGCGGTCTTCAAACCTAGTTGGGCTGCCTGACACGTCGGAGGATGGTGAAGGGAAGGAGTTAGCGGTTACCTTGATGGCGCTGACATACCCACCGGGGCCCCCTCCTATGACGGCAACATCGAAAGCATGAGAGGCCGTAGAAAAGAGTCGAGCCCTGCTGAGGCCCCGCAGAGAGTTGAGCCCAAAGAAGGGCGAACCGACCATTAACGCAAATGGGAAAACTTCCTGACGACTAGTGAGGATTCCAACAATATGATACTACCGAACGGAAGGAAACACCGGGACTCCGTGGAAGGTGGAGGTCGCGATGGAAATTCTAACACTACACCATTTCCAGGTCGACTCGAATTTTTTACCGAAAAATTCAACTTTTTACCCTTTTGAATAACGTTATACCCCATCATATAATGCTTCACTATCTTGATTGATATTTTACCCGTAGCTTTAGTGGAATACCAAACTAATATCCTTACGACTCTATTTGAGAGTTTTCAATTTAACTCAACCAAAGACGCGCAGAACGATTTTTGCCCAAGTGCAGAACTAGCATTGTAGTATTGGAATTCCTAGCGTCCACATGAGGGAAAACTTCAATGTTGCATATTATTCTCAGCTCATCCACAGCAACGCTACTATACTTCAGCTGTGATAAAAGAGAGGAAAAACCTTGAGTGGACAGCCATGCATGGGCCTTCATAACTTATCCCATCACCCCTAGGTGAGGCCCTGCCCTTAACAAACACTACAGCGACCACAACGGCAGTATACGTTGACGTAATCGAGGAAGCAACAACGCTGGTAATGAGGAGGAGGAAGGGGGTTATGTATTGACGTTAAAACGGTAGCCGCATTTCTGGCACTCGTAGAACACCGTCTGGCCCTCATCGGCGCTCCTCAACTGCTGAGTCCAGAAGGCCATACGAGGATTCTTGCACTTCGGGCACTCCTCATCCACCTAAGAACGATACCGATGAGCAGCTGCCTTGAACCCTGGCACTTAAGAATCTTACTAAAGCCATCTTTTTATCGTCCTTTTTCTCCTTGCCCTCCTCCTCATCAATGATGTTCTTCATCCACACCTTCATCTCGCCATAGTCCAACACGGCATGGGACTCCATCAGCGGTCCAGTGGCGAATCCTGATGCGACTCATACCACTCCTTGACGAGATCCTAGAGCTTACGATCCCGCTTAGCTCCACACCTAGAGCAGACCGAGTACTGCCCCTTCTGTCTTTGGTCGTAGAAAGAACCACAGTCTGAGATTATTCATAATATCAACAACTCTCATACGACTACTATTGCCGTACATCCACAGAACATATTCTCGTATTTGAAGTACTCCTCCTTAGAAACCTTAGCCCACTCAGGCAACTCTGATTCGTCAGCGCACAGCTCCATCTGAACACCACGATTGATGACCCCTCGCGCTGAGAGCCGAAGGGAGCAGTAATGAGAAACATGATCGCTTTGCTCAACTGAGCTCAGAAATTTCCTCATTTACAAATTTATGTGTGAATTCGAGTAGAAGTATACAATAACCAACGAGAAGATTTCCCAAAATTTCCTCAAACACATGTGGTCGACCATGTACATATTTCCCAACACTGAAAGGGAGAGACCTTGCTATTACATCTTTCTCAGAGGAGTCCTTTTCAGCGGGGTCTTTATACCCCAGAGGCTTCCTCTTCAGCCACTCACTAGATGTGACCGCAGGGACGAGGGGACCGAAGGGCCCATGAGGACGGAATGAGGACATCCCAACAAGAACAACAACAAGCCTAAACAACAGCAACAACTCCCTAATTCCGTAACAGGCAAACGCAAAGTTATCAAGGAAGAAACCAAGGCACTGAGGAGTCGTCAATCGGCGCGGCTTTCCTCTGCAAAGAACTTCGCTGCCCCCATCGCCATCTTCAATGTCCGGTCCGACACGTCATGGTCTCCTTCCACACTGCAGCGAGAGGGCATATAAATACACCACCAAATGCCGAACTTACGTTCCCCATTTTCCTCTATTATCCAACTCCTCCAAAACCGAAGCCCTACATGCCTAGCACATGATCAGCATTCGCCTATTCTCATGCCACAGATGATGGTACCTCCTCTAGAGAGGTATTCCCGAGGTAGTAGTTAAGGGCGATCACAACAGACTTCGCCGTCCTGCTCATCTCATCGAAGGCTGTGAGCTCCCACGGGGTAAGGGTACTCAAATACGCTCTCAGGGCCGCGTCCTATACAGCCGTCCGATAATCGAATAACGAAGCTCTTACTAGTACCGCTCCTTCTGAGTGTTTCGGCAGTGATATGCCCCTACATGAGGCTATTTTGCAGTTGAATTCCTTGGACACGAAACTGAGCCCACGGTGACTGATAACGTCAGGAAAGGTGTCACCTCCTATATTCGCCCCACTCAGGGTATTCCCCATAGCAAGTGAGGTCGGTGTTCAAGTAGTGGAGATTCCTCTCAACCACTGCGCTCATATCCTCCGCTGTCAAATCAATAGTTGTCGCTGCCAACGCCATCAACGGCATGAAGCTGCCAAGCCTCACTACAACCAACCGTACTGTCTTCACTTACTGTGGCCGTATGAACTTGTCCTGCTCGGCCCACTCCTCTGCTACTGCAAAGGCGAGCCCCTCCGAAGGGAGTGCCAGTCGGTGCTTAGCTGGAGTCGACAATCGTCTGAGGCCACACAGTCTTTCCAGTCTCCTCACTAGCCACCGTCCCACTTGCCGTCCAAAAGGACCGTCCATCCTCCTCCCTCGTCAATGCCATTCCGCGCTACCTTCACCACATCATAAAAACGCTTATGCGCCCTCGCAGTGTTGCTAGGCAGGGCAGCTAGAAGCCGATGACTCTGCCGAAGGGACATCAGAGGGACAGCAACTCACCCACAGAGGACAGCATAGCGATACTCTCAATAACGCAAGGGGAAGTCAATCACCACCAACGCCGTGACTCGGCTGACGTAAGGCAAACCACTGAGGCGACAGCTAAGGCGGTGAAAAAGATACCAGCTACCGCGTACTTAATACCTCCGTCCCACTTGACATTGCAGAAGGAGGCTTTGCTAATAGACTTTGAAAAACTACAAATCATACATGCGGTTCAGAATCGATGGACCGAGTCAGAGTAAAGGGCTGTCTACAGACCAAAGAAGGTAGCGATGCTCCTCCAAAGTCGTGAAGGAGGAGGCGGCGATCGGCAGGGACGGACAGCAAGGGCCTGGTGCCTAGCTTCAGCACAGCTGCGGACGATGGGCGGAGGGGAACGCCCACATACTGCCCTCTCCACTACATGAGAAACTGTAGGGACCACACTACTGGATGAGTACCAATTTAGTATCTGAAGACCACCGTAGAAACCTATCATTCTCATGCTTCGACAATACCGTTTAAAGCGGTGTGGGAATATTTGTTTGGTTTCCTAAATTGAGCTCCCATAAGTTTCCTCACTACATTTAGAAAATCCATACATGATTTCGGGTAAAAGTATACAGAAACCAACGACTATTTACTCGAGTTTTACCAACACATGTAGTAACTACATGTGTTGGTGAAAATATGGAAACTATGAAGAAACCTCGTAGTTGACCATGCGCATATATTCCGTGGTTAAAAGAGGTGAGCAAATGACCTCAACATGTGCTTACCTCTTCGCACTCCCGACACTCCAGTTTATCAACTCCAACTTCACAACAGGCTAGGCGTTCTGGTGTCCATCCACTACGGGACCAGAGGCAAGTAAGATAGCTCTCACGCAGCCTCTCTACTGGTGCTGACCCTAGACCCCTACATACACATATAGCAGAGGCTTCTTCGTTAGCGCAGAATATTGGGTAGCTCGGGAAACTGAAAAAGAACACAACAATACGCCCAAACCCATGCACTTCAACAAGCCGAAGAGTAACTTCCAACAGAGGAGTTGTATCCCCGCTTTATTGTCATTGACTGATTCGAAGAGGAGTGGTCCAGCAGTGTGGAGAAATATGCACATAGCCAACTACCTTGTGAAAGTCAGGTGAAAATTTTGCGAAATTCTTGGTAGCTTCTGAACATTTCTATTCTGATTTATATATAAACTCCTATAATTAGTGAGGAAACTCCTGAGCTCAGCTGAGGAAAGCGAACATATATTCCAGCACTGCTCTTCACTCGGGGTGGTAAAGGCATGCTCATGTAACGCACTATAAACTCTGAATACCATTCCCCCCACTACTTACAGTCTGCGGCGTAGCTGATATAAACGGTAGGGGTCCATGCCCCATCCGTGACTCGGGTTAAAGGAAACATCAAAAAGTTGTAGGTCGTCGAGGAATGATAGTACAAATAGAGCACAGATAAGGTCCTGAACAGGAGGGACGAATTGGAAAAGGAGTGGTATGGCAACCACGGTCACGTCCGAGCGCCATCACCTCATCATTGTCTGTAGTAGCTCCTGTCAAAGAACACCAACGCAGATTCGCTGCAGCCTCAAGAACGTTCCGTAGCGAGCGGGAAGGTACATGGCAAACGCCTAAGAAGCAGCCTCCAACACGCCACCCCTCCCCCCAGCCTACCCCTTCGGGCCGAATTGAGCTGTATCTCTCTCAGACAAGTCATCCCAGGCGGAAACTCCAGCTCGGAACAGCGGCATTCCCGTGCAGCAGACAGTCTTATCTCCTTTAAAGATGTCTTCAGCAATGGCTGCACCATCTCAAAATCGTCGATCTGATATTGGAGTTTCACAACCCGTTTTACGTGAAGTGGTGAAAAACCCGATATTCACACCATGCAGTGTTTTCCATATCCCGGGTGAAACTTCAATAACATCATTTATCGAGCAATAGCTACCACCCTGCTTACGTTCTCCATCTCCAGCTCCTCCAAGCAGCACTCTCTCAGCACAGGCAGTAATGGGTTAATATCAACATTCCCACAGTTCACTTCCAGCCGTCGTAACGACCTCGTGATTGGTGACCTCAACAGGGCGTGGCGCAGTGGCTGTTCTGGCTGAGCCTCTAGACGTAAACTCCATAGCATAGGACTTAAATAGCGTCCAGCACAGCAAAGACGACCACACGTAGCAGGGGTAGCTATCAGATGCATAGTCCAGAAGCACTGCTGATTACATCGTCCTGACAGAAACTGCATACAATTCTTCTTATGGGGATGATCCCTATCCGATCAAAAAAATGAACGGCCGAAAGTTATAAAA